TCTGTACAACGTAATTTGATTGTTAAACCCATTTTTAGAGTTATTTTCTCGCTTAGAACTACTTTTCGACATGATCATAAACACTCACAGGACCCAAATCAGTTACTAATTTTTCATTGGCTCCGGTGTGCGGCAGGCAACTTGTTAAAAATGGAAGGAAACGAGGATCAAAGCACTCTGCCTTATTTGTCAAGTGTTTCTAAAGCTCAAGCTCTCTACAAAAATCGCCGAAGGCATGTGCTCCATGCACAATCAGAAGGCATGACTGTACCTACGACAATAAATTCAAAACGCACGTATTTATGCACGCTTGCAAGGCAGTGCCATAATGAGAAATAAGTCGCAACCAAAAGCTGTCATTATTAGCGCAGCGCGTCACGATAGGTCATTACTTTTTTCGACGAATAGACTGCTCCTGACGAAGCTGGTGTAACTGAACTAGGCAGTAGATTCATTGATCGCCTAGTTGTCCTTTCAAGTTACACTGGACTATAGCTAACAAAAGTTCGTATGAACTTAATTTCTATGATTGGCTATTCCTACCAAACTTATTGGCCCCTCTCTTGGACGTTCTAGGACAGGTATTACCAGCACACGCGGAAGCTCGATTTTGACAAATAATTTTAGCAATGGAAGCCATTACGCTAGACAGCTTTCGATTCTTAACACTACGATAATTCAACTTTTGTTCCAGTAAGAGTAATACTGTTCATAACACAACTTCATACTAGTCAGGACCATAAAACTAGAATTAGAGGTCCACAGAACCGCGCCCTAGGATTCGCCAACTACTAAATGTGTCGCGTTCTTCTCGCAAGCCTACTACCTCACGCCTAACTATCAGGAGCAAACCACACAAGACAGCCGGCACTCCGATGTTTGTAGAATTAACTTTCTGTGTATTTGTTCGGTTTTCTTCGATCTCGAATGAACGCTATAGCATAAAGTGTGAAATTAAAACAACTAAAAAAAGGACAATCCATACTATAATTTTAGATCGCGAAGCATGTAGACGTTTATTTGTTTCGCAATTCGGATAAAGTAGAACTTTCCGGAAACGCGTTAAGGAAATCTTTATCCGTCTCCGACTCTGATCTCGTAAAACCGAGTACCTAATTCACCCTTGAACATCGTCCTTCTATCTTTATATCGATTCTTACAGTGAGAACTTGAAATGCATCCCTGAACTAGGCTAAAGGCAAGCTACCTGTGGTAGTTGCTCATCCAGCTTGGGTGCAATACGGCAGGCTAAATCCGAAATCAAGCGTCAACATACGGTTCGTTTCGTATTGAAATAGGCCAGCTGTCTGAAGCCATACGTTACCTACCATTTATAACGTTTCTTTACCATCTTGCCAAAAATAGTTCGATTCCACTTCAGCAAAATATCGTTGCGTGTAATACGCACACTCCGTTCACCGCCTGCATAATCTTTTACGACTTTATCTACATATATAGAAAAGCAAAAAGTAGATACGTTATATAGTCGAGCTAGATAGAAGCATTAGTAGCGGTGTTCAAACTACACCGAAAGCAAATACAGTCCATATAGATGTATCAAGTTATGGTGAGATTCAATAAGGTCGATGCATATTTATCATATATTGTTTAGCTGTATCAGGTCACTGTGTCTGGCCTATTCAATCCTACGACGAAACACAGATGTCTCTGTACGCTCACGTTGATTCGCTTTGTTCGATCGGGAAAAATAATCCTGTTTTATATAGTCGTTGTAGTTGACAACAAACGAGCCTGACATCGGTCAGGCTTGTTTGTTGTCTATTGCATTACTAATGTCAGTGTCCTATTCTGCCATGGAAATGTAGCTATGCTTCCGATGGCCCGGTCGACGTGCACCATCAATAGCCTTCGGCTGGTCAGTATAATGGAACAAGCGAGATAAACTGACGATGAGCGAAGCGTTCCCGCTTTAGAGATCACATTTGAATTAAAAAACAAGGATCCAGCAGACACTTTTTCCGACGCGCTCTTATTGTGTTTATACTAGTAACCCTGAAGGCATGCTGCTAGGACAAAGTAAAGCTATTCTGTCCTTTTCAAGAGCTTCCCGCCAACTCTGCCAATCGGGCCCAGCACGACTTAATAAACGAGGCGAGAGAGTCGCAACTTTAGATAGCGTACAATACTCGAAGAGAGATATAGCAAACTTCAATATCAGTAAAAACATATTGATAGCAAGGCAGATTATGGTGCCTCAGTTCTTCCTCTTGATGGTGTCCATTCTTATACAGAAAGGGTATTTCCGTAAACCGAAGTCTCTGTAACGTAAGTTAGGAAATTAGACAAAAAATGTTTTAGGCTATCCTGATTAATGGATGTTTTACTCAGAGGAAATAAAAAGCATACGAGGGAAATATGTTTGGCTAGAAGAGAGCAAACGCAGCTCAAGTCCGCATTATAACGCTTTGAGGTCAAACCATTACTTTGAGAGCTCACACAGGCCAATGCTCCGCCAAGTGGAACTTCAACATAATTAGTCAGGCAATTTGGAGGCAAAATAGTGTTGTCTGTTACCGTAATAACAATAATCACGTCGCAGTGCAAAAAATGCCCAAAACGAGATGCAGCCAAGTGGCAGATAAAAAAAAAAGTTTGAAAATTTGGAAAAATCGCGCTACGAATAGGCTATTTTTGTTTCTATAAAAAATATTCACCATAGTATATTATTTTTCTATAGAAACAAAAATATATACATATATATTTGTAGTTAGATATATTTAGCAGTCAAGAAAAAGATAACGCAAAGCATGATTTCACGGTAGTATTTGACTAGCGGCGGAGAATGAATGAGCCTAACTAAGTCGCCGTTCCGAAAGAGTTCACAGCAAATGAAAATGTTTTCACGAAATTTATCATTTTCGAAGCGGTGTTAATGGCTACAGAACTGTATAGAAACATATTCAGAAAAAATGCTTCGTACTCGGCTTTTATTTCCAATAATATCGCTTTCCCTTACATATATATCGCTCTATAATGCACACCTATAAATCGATACGTCAACCCCACTGATTAGAAAAAGGAGGATACTTCCAGCCACCGAATAAGTCCTACATGTTTGAAAATTGAAAGTCCCTATAAAACTAGGTGGCTCATCCATAGTAAGAAATGCTAAGCCTGCTTTCAATGGGCAGCGGACTAATCCTCTGCGTTTTCCTATACGCGTTCCTCGGTATGAGTCCGTTACACTTGGAAGTATGTTAGCAACAATGCAAGTGTAGCTTAAAACGACGCCAGTAATCTCTTAACTTGACACGCATGTTCAGACAATACAATATAACTGTGCTATAAGTATGCGATGAAGAAAATGAGGATGAGCTGACGGTAATCCCTTTACAACAACACTTCTTTGCAACTCAGTTTTGGTTAACTGAAAAAAGCAGCGTACCAAAATTCTAGCGATATTTATCCGATATTATCGCCTTCGAGACAGCTAGTCGTACATAGACTATTTTCTGCTTAACCTGCCGCCGACGCACGATTGCCTCTGTGCAAATTTTCCTATCGATTACAATGTTGAATGGGAGTTTAGATAAACAAACGATTGTATCCGTACGCCATTTATAAAGTGCCGGTATTATGCCGTACGCATCCTCTAGTTAATCAGATCGATGCATAATATTACTTACCCCGCCATTGCTAAAGCCTATGTTACTTGCATACCGTGCGTTTCCTGTTAAATGGAAGATGTTGAACACCTCAATTGCAGTATGGCCCTAATAGAATCAGGACAATCTCTATTTACTGGAGATTGTCCTAGAGTTCATAGAGACGGAATGTCATTCGTGTGTGATCCAAGATTGCACAATGAACAAACTGTCACAAAGTTATTTCTATTTCTCTAATGAACTACATATTTTTAGCTGTTAGATGAAATAACCGATGTGGCCAAACCGAACGGCCACATTAGGTCCGGTAAACATTGTCCTATGTTCCTTCCCCATCTATATATATATATGTATTCCCGTCCTAGATTCATTGATTAGCGTGCCATTCATAATTGACTGGCACGTACTTATTACAAGTATTGCGCGAGTACATAATTGCTCCCTTAGCAACTGGTAAGGTCCAGAAATATAATTTGAAATATATCCGAAATCTTTTTACCCGATTTTACCTTTTTTTTTTCTTTAATCTGAAAAGTTTTAACTTTTTTTTTTTTCTCTAACCTTTGCAAATAAATGTTCGCCTGACAATCATTCTAAATAGGCCTAAAGTGAGAATATTTTTTATCTCTCACCAGACATTAATCAGTTGCTAGTAACTGTCTCCGCCTCTATATTTGTAAGTTGTACAGATTGGATGTTCTGTTGTTAAAAGAAGACACTCTCTAATTTTTTTCGTATGCTACAATGTTACTTGAATCTAAATAAAACTCCAACGGTGATCATTGAGTCAACGACTAACTTCAGTTATTATCCAATGGTCTTGTTAAAGTTCGTTTTTGCAAGCGGCAAAGCAAATGATGAAAAATTACTTAAAAAAATTGATTTAATTGTTAAAAGATAACATTTAAAGTAAAGCGATTTCAATATAGTCTTTAGCTCATTAATCTACAAAAGATAAATGGAAACACAAGTACCATCGGCAGAAATGTTCTGTATGTCTGCCTTTTTGAACACTGCTAATATCTTCGATGTCAATACTTTTATTATTAAATAGATACTAGGATAATTTTTGCATCAATATTTCTCTTTTCATATTTTTTTTCCAAATGTATGTGTGTACCATGAATTGAACCGTCTAGGGACTAGATTACATTCTTTTTTATTTTAAAATTCGTTATTTTAGTCAATCTCAAGTCTATTAGCAACAGAGATTCACTCATCTATTTAAACTTATTCCCATATTTCGAATTCGCTCAAGGCTAATTCTGTATATTGGTGGCATCTTATGTTTTGTTCTTCGTTTTATCCCTTGTCCCTGGAATCAAAACTACTGGAAATGCTCGCGACCTCTAAACTCGAACGGTTCCAATATAGAACCAAAGTTTACGTTATTTTAGTGAAAGTTACTCGCGTTATTGACGTTTCACCATATCTCAACGGTTGGCACGCGTTTGGCGTATCGATCTGACCCACTGACGGACAGACTGGTGACCACGGCCTTGTTTTACGAATTAGTGCATAAAACGAAGTTCGATGAATAGACTAAAAGAGGTTTACGGTGAAGTAAATAGCCTGTATGCGCTTCTGGGCGTTGAACCTAATGCGTCGGGTGATGAAATTCGCAAGGCGTACCGACGCCTTGCCCTTAAATGGCACCCAGACAAAAATCCCGCTTGTAAACAAGAGGCTGAGCGACAATTTCGTTTGATATCTGGTGCATACGAGGTGCTCACCGACTCCAAACGCCGAAGAGACTATGATAATAATCTGGCCGCTCAGTTCAACCAGCCGTTCCGTCATCATGCCGATGTCCCGAATTATATGTATACCGGCGCTATGATGGCCTTTGACGAGCTGTTATTTCTTCTAAATCTTTATCCCCAGCAGACATTTATGAGCAACAACATGGGCTATTTCACTAGAGGAGCTATCTTCAAAGACGTCCAAAAAGTGACCACCATGCAAAACAGTCAAAAGTTCGAGAGAAAGACAGTGATTGAGAACGGTCGGGAAACTGTTGTCTTCAAACACGACGGTCATATTGTAGGGCGGCATGAACGCATCCTACCGTTTCAAGCAGCGCAACACTGCAACACCTACTTCTTCGATTTGTCTCGGCCACAACCACAAGGCATTAATACGTTCCATATCTATCCACAACCATTACACGCCACTTGTGGTCAGCCTGCAGGACCACAAGTGTTCTGCTCGACATATGTGCCCCCCCCAGTTACCACGGTACCCGGTGCCCCGCCACCGGCGGCACCACCATCACCATCACCACCACCACCGCCGCCGCCGCCGCCGCCGCCACCGCCGCCACCGCCGCCACCGCCGCCGCCGCCGCCGCCACGTTCAACACGGTCACCCCCAGGTGGTATCGGCGCACGTGGGACACCGCGCCCTCTTCGACGTGCGACTGCCCGTTCTCCGCCCCCTCCTGCTCGTCATCCTCCTCCACCGCCACCACAACCCCCACCAATTCCACCTCCACCCCCACCCCCACAACCGCCACCACTGTCTTTACTTTTTCAACACATCCAGCTACCATCAACGTTTTCCCCCATATTTCAGCACCCGCTATCCACGTGTCTGTTCTACGAACCTGCCCAATCCCAGACCGTTCCTGCGATAGTGTCGGATGCCGGTGATCAGCCGGATGATTCAGGTGAGGACAAGGCCGTAGAAGACGAAGTAATGCTAAACGATACTTGTGACGGACGCGGTACTTACACTGAGTACGACCCGGATGATGGTTGTGGTGACGATGATGAAGGGGGATGGCCAGTATAGCAAATCGGCATCCCCGTGACGGCACGGTAAGAACGTCTACCGGGAGGCCTAAGTGGATCGGGGCGAAAATGAGCGGTAAATACGTATATATTATAGTTAATCTGTACAGTGAACTAATGGGGCTAATTTAACAAAGAACGAAGAAAGAAAACGGGTTGACAACGTTTTGAAAACAATGTTTGCAATAAAACCTGAACAAGAATCACGTTTATATTATTAGAAAATCGAGATAGTTGCACAAAATGTAAGTGTGTAGTATCTAAAAAGCCTTCAGTTTTTTGTAGGTATTTTATCTAGGCGATTATATCATACACAGAAAATTGATTTGGATTGTTTCCTGTTGCAAGAAAAATATGCCGCCTCCTTCTGTGGCTGGGAAAGTGCACGTCAATGTGTAGAAATGTGTTTGATTCGTCGACAGACTTTATCCCTTATACTTGCGCTCAACACTCATCTTCGGACTAATTGAAAGACCAATGTACAATGCTATATGCTACACTATATGCTATATAAGACGATACCTGTAGTAGAAACCGTTTTTCACGGCCCTTCGCCGAAAGCTTTCGGTGTCGCAGTTCCTGTAGGACACTTTACATCGTGTTTAATTTCATGTAACTAAACATCTGCCGTAAAACTAGTGTTATATAAAAATAGCACGTATAAACACTGCTCTAAGCAAGTGGTTATCGTTGCTATTCGCGAAGGAAATGCTCTACATCAGTATCGTATGAATTTAATTTCTATTCACTCTTAATTCGATTATGATTATCACTATTATTTATACAAGCGTTCTGTATACCCATTTAGCAACGTTGCGCTAGGGCTCGTTTTTTCTCGGCGATTGCTCGCTACTAAAGCCATATGAGTATATTTTTCATCCACATTAGCATTAGCAGCATAAAGCTGTTCTGATTCTGTTGGGCACTCCCCATTCAGTCGTAACGGCGACCGTGACATGAGTCGGCCAGCTTCGCGATCCGTATGAGGATCGAGTAGACCGAACGTATCCTTCGGCGTCTTTTTACTTGCGTTATCGTTTTGTCAATTAACCAAACCTTAGGATGATTAATTGTCGTCTTTGCTGTCGACCCCGCTCATATACTGATGCTTATAGAGCTCCATCAATGCACATTGTCAATACTACATACCGAAGCACGCGGTTTTACCTAAGGATTTACGGGGCATCTTCGCTGCTGTGGGTCCTCATTTATTGGTCGTTGAAAACCGAAATAGGATTTCTATTCAGATTGCTTGGGCACTCAACAGGGCGTCTCAGTGTGTTAGTCTGGCAGGAAGAAACCGTTGTAGACTAATAACCCCACGACTCTACACGTCTCTTGGCTAAAAAATCTGTTAAATCAGTTTTATTCGAATGACAATATAATGGTTTGGCTGTTTAACGTCCCTCAGCGACAATTACTTCTCACGGTCCCGCAAAAATCTTATCAAGCATACTACCTTACGTAGCGTGTGCAGTGTTTACGTTTCTACAAGTTGACGAAGGCATTCAGTCTTTAGTTGGGATAAAATGGCCTATGCGATTATAGAACCTAGCGCGTGTGCTGGGAAACTTTCGCGCGCTGCCGGACGCGAACCAAGATATTGTGATTACTTCCGCTAAAGTCAGCAGGAATTCATAAATAATCACTTCATATTTCAGTTAACATGAGCATAAAATGAATGCAACAAGGTTCAACGATTACGTGAAAGCGTCTACTCAGCTTTGTTAGTGAGTTCCCTGCTCAAATTTAACCTATAACCGAATCACTGACGCGTAATTATGGACATATAAATGGGGTCTACATTGAGGCTGCGGTGATCTTTCCCAAACTGTTATGTTTATTTTAACACCGTTTACCTTCGTGCGTAGCATGTGTACATCGTAAATAGATTAATACGAGGAAGAAATTATGTACCAATGGATGCCTCAGATGGCAAGCAGACCCGTGAAGAATAATGGGTTTCAAGCATTTAGGCGACCGGCGGATTCAGAGTTTCGAAGTCGTCAATCTAAAACTGGGAAGTATTAGTGATGATACGCAGATAATTCTGTGTTACCATATCTATATCCACTTTCATTTAAGCAGCAAGCTTTATTTTTTCCCACCTGTATATAGCTAAACTAAAAATGGTGATAATATTTGCACGTACGTTATTATTCATAGCGCTCAAAATATATCTGCGCATTACTGTTCATCATTTTTAAAATGGCTATATATTTTCGAAGTATACCGGCATGATTAAACGATGAATGGTAGGTTTTTCTGTTTACTTTTGCAAGCCATGTTTGTACTGAGAACTAAGCTAGCTGCCCGATGTCCCCATTAGCTACAGCGAGTGGGACTTGCTGGGTCCGCCCAGAACAGTCATCGCACAGACCGTCGAAGCCTGCCCTCGTGGTTCTACTTTATTTATAAAGCCGGCAAGAAAGTACAGACGACCACTTTGCCATGCTAAACCGGTCGGTCGTAAAGATCTCCCGTGGGTAGATTCAGGAGATACTACGGCTTTAGAGAGCTGATTACGAAAACAATAGGAGGTTATTTCTTGACCTGATCTCAGCCTATACACGAGGGTTAGCTCATCTGTCAATGCATCATGTCAACCGGATTAAAAACAAAATACTACGTTGGTATAAAAAAAAAAACAGGCTTATTTTTTCTTTTAACTTTTCGCATGAATATCTATAATGCTTGTGATTGTCCTGTTGGTCTTCTGTCTAGCTGCCGCCCTGCATACACGCAAAAATTGAAGCGAGATGGGTTTGTTATACAACGAAATGGAACGTAATGGTACTGCGACAGCCTTTAATTGGATCACACACATGCGTGCTGCGACTAGAAGTAATATTAACAAATTGCAGGGAAACGATAAACGAATGAAAGGACAATAACGTACGCTTAAATACGTTTTGGCAAATAAATTGAGACTATTGAATAAGGCTGCTGAATTATACTTTCATTAGGAAATTGCGATTATATTAGGTCCATACGATTGTTAAGAAATCCTGAGAATGTGATTCTAAACTAATATGTACCGGTTAGATAAGCGCTTTCAATGTAACATAGATAACCTCGAAATATTCGAAGTAACGGAGTATTCAAGACTACAATCATCCAAATTGAGCAAGACGAGCTTCCGAGTCGAAAATTTACTACGATGCGCTTATCTATGAAAATGATTTGTCTTGACGAAAATCACTTATTATATCGGTGTGTATAGAATGAACGATCCTAGTAGTCGAACAAAAAAGACGTAACCAATAAATATCACGTACAGCATATGTAGGCTATATTTTGTAGGCTAGAGCAGCCGGGCGTTTTATATTATCACGGATTTAAAATGTGTACATTTTCTGAGATCCTAAAACAGGCCTGAGTGGTGAGCGATGGACAAGTCATTTCGGAAGCAAGAACGCCCTAAGAATTGAGCAAACCTGTATGCTACAAAAGACATCGTTTTATCAATACAGGTCACTTTATCCATTCCAGTTTGTGCCTTGTCGTTACACAAAATCGTAGAACTGCAACAGGTTATTTTTTGAACCGCAGCCGACGATGGCTATGACGGAAGGACATGTCATCTATACGATCCATGAATGCTTTTCCGACCGCTCGGACCCATAACAATACAACTTAATTAAAGCGTTTTTCATTCATATGAAAACTGCATCGAAAGGGAAAGTATAACATTTGATATTACTTAAAAATGGCAATGAATAGTAAATAAAACTGCTTAACGTAAAAAAGCGACCCGGATGAGCGAGATAATTGTAGTTAGTCGAATCGCATACACAATATTGCTATATAAATTTTATTTTTTTATATCTATATATATATTTTTTGTTTTATAAAAATACACAATGTTTAGATTTTACGGTTCCCGATAGCTGAAAGTGAATTTCTACCGGCACTTAGCAAAGCAAACAGTGTGTTATCGACAAAGGCCTAATAGCTTTATGAATCAGCATACAATATTATATATAGCTATTGAATCAGGTCATCATCATCTGCCTCGGTTGTTGAAAGACAATGAAGTTTCCAAGACGAATCTACTCAAGACCTTATGGGAAACTCTGTCGTATAGCTGAGTGGGGGGATTCGACTTTCCAGAAAAGAAAGCGATATTACTTATGGGAAGAATATCTTATGTGTCTATGCATATTTCTTATTGATAATGAACTTAGTTTCGTTCAGCACTAGAATATAGAAAGCATAATCCTAGCAGGATCTAAGTAAGTGGAAGTTATATAAACGTATCTACGAAGGCGAATCGCCACCACAGGATCCGAATTTGATAAAAAAGGAAAAAATTTGCTAGCCTTAATATTTACTGCCCAGCATTGTCCTATCAAGATTAACCACCAGTTGCGGTAATTTTTTGACCCATTTTCCATTGGATCACAAGAACACGGCCGTTTACTATCATGGCACACCCATTAAATGATGAAGATAAAAATCCAAATGTATTTCTAGTTTCTCATCCTGTGCTATAATCCTTTATATTATACATTTGATACAAAATGCGTGCCTTTCAGGAAGCTTTGCGATTAGGTCAGCTATGTTCAAATCGACGTAGGTAAATATTAACGGCGACCGCAGAGTTGACGGTTGACATCGATCAAGAGGTGAGGTAGAAGTGTAGACGAATTGGGTAAGTAGTGATTGATTACGGTTTTCAGTGTGCTAGGATTCGTCTGTAAAAATAGACCAAGATCGTCGAAAGCTTTGAAAAACAATAGCAGTGAAAAACTGTGCTACGTCTAATTTGCACTAATAGCCAATACAAAGAATTTTGTCATTGCCGCAAACTATAGGAAAGAAACAAAAAAGGATCTTCCTCGAACTAATGACGCCGTGCTGCAGCCAAATATATATAGGAAGAAAAAGTTTCTATAGATGTATGATTATGAAAAAAATAAATAAGTAATACGGCAATAGCAAGATTAGGCGATAGAGGCGCATCACTTACTTTGCAGCTCAATAAACTCTATTTACAACATACTTTTTATTTTCGTAGACAGTTTGTTGTCTTTATCGATATAATTAATGTAGTGTGATTACGTTCATTGGATCCTATACATGAATTTATTTACAAACATGATGTTCCTCATGTACGCAGACCTCTCTTCTACTAGACACGATCGTCTCGGAATAGATGGCGGTACCTCCCAGATCCACCGTCGCGACCGCAGTGACGAATTGATCTTGACAGTTAACGTGGCACCAGGACTATCTCTCGTAACAATATGACCGCGCATCTTACAGCCTTGATAATCAGAAATAGAATTGTTCTATAACTTAACGTCATTGTAGTTACATTATATGGAACAGGCTGTCTGTTTGGCTTCCAAGTTAATATCAGTGGTGTAAAACAAAAACGTAAGTGTCGAGATAAGTACCCATTAACGCACGCATGAGATCTATAACACTATTGATACGTCATGCTGGTTTGTGTCGGACGTAAAATACGAAAAAGAAATACGTCATGAACGCTGTGAATACAAAATTTCGATCATTGAAATACGAGCGAATCTTATGAACAGGTACCATGCCGGTTTTGAAGCCACTGAAACATCTGGCATGCGGCCCACAAGCTTTAACGTGCATGCATGAAGATGACGAACAGTGATGACTTTAATTATACTGCATTATTTCTAATTCAAATATGTTTGTCGTCTAATTAGATTTCTCATTATGTTTTTTTAATGTTGCTATGTACCAGACAATGTTTGCAGGCTTGTTTGTATGCTAGATGGTTAATTTTTGTACAATGAGGATTATTATGCAAAACCTCACTAATGAAGTCGAGTTTCCCATAATGATGTGCTGGTGGTTGTAAAGAGACTCGACTCAATGAGTTGCAAACCAGGCGATCGTGTTATCGCTGTCTAACAATTTTTGTGACGATGCATTTAACGCAAACACCTACATCTCCTGTCTTCGTTGCAAACATAAAAAAGGCGCTTCATTAGAAGGTACAATGAAGGGTAGTTTTTATTTGCCACTTGTTACCTTCACACGGAGGAATATGTCCGTATCACGTACCTATATAAAATAATACCGTCTTTCGCATCAGCACGCCGATAAGGGTTCTTACTTACGTATCCTGGCGTTTTACACTTATATACTGTGCGCAGAGAGCAAGAACAAACGAGGCGACTTTAAAGGACCTATCCTACGCAGCTGTCATTAGTACAAATTAAAATGTAGTTCTTAGATAGAGCACTAGTAAGGACTTCGTTCGTCTGAAATGTAAAAGGACGGCGGAGTTGACGATCGGAACGTCTGTAGGAACACAGTTGTTTATAAATGGTCGGATCATCATCATCATCATTTGCGAAGGAGTCATTCGTCCTGAAGGATGGGTAGCGCAGGGGGTAACTCGACGACAAATAAAAGTGCAAGTAGAAAAAGCAAAACTTAACAAAATAAGTTTCAAGGTAAAAGCCTTATAAAAAGCTCGTTCCAAGGAAGAACTTCTAAAGCTGTTAAATTCAAGCCGCGTGGCAAGTACCCGTCGTCCAGGTAGTTGCGAGTCTCAACGATTTATGAGGGACGCAAAGGAACTTCAATGGGGACCCTTGTCCAGGCAGTACATGTTCACAACGCACAAGCTGCCCAAAACGTAGAACGTGGTTTTACGATTACGAATGCCGTTTTATCGTGTATGATATTGAACAGGCGTTAGATAGGGTGTCGACGTCATCGGCATCACACGAAAATATGACGCGATAGGCCATAATCAATTGGCAGTAATAAGACGGCAAAGAGCGAAGTACGTGTCTCAAAGGGAGATATCACACTTTCGGTTCGACGATTCTCATTTTCTACTTTCAACTCGTTCACACTTACCTTCCTCTCCTGTAAGCCTCTTTGCCCCAATATATTTGGCCACCTCTAACTGTAGCTCAAACTTTAAAAACCATTAAAATCAATGCGATTTTTTTTACCTGTAAATTTATCAATAATATCATAATCATTGTAACAATGGCTGTCGCATTAACTGTTTTTCCGTTGTCTCCTCTCGCAATAGCAGCGTTTCCACGTTAAATTTCATTCGGGTGTGAGCGAAATCACACGTCTGTTATACTGCAGCTATGGAAGAAAGTCCCGAAATAATAGTCACGGCCATATTATCAGGGTCGCGCCCACGTGCGAAACGAGTTTTCTACTAAATTTCGCGAAACACGATCGACAAATGATAGCTAAATCTAGTGAGGAACGAATATATTATACCTAGAATCTAGGAATATGCAGGTGTAGTCACCGCATGGCTTACTTTTTCTAACGCCTCAAGAAAGCTAAGGCCGAACGACAAGATCCTAACCATTTCTCTTACGAGTTCTACAGCTTGACGCGGTTGCTCGTAATGTGCATGAGTGAATCCTTTACATAATATGGGTAAGAAAATATTTTTTGGACGAGCTTTGTTTTTTACGAATGTGTATCATCACATATTAATTGACTTATAGTTTCAAGGGGTATGCAGTACCAAATAATAATTATCGTTTTCATTTTTGGTTGTTAATATAGACTGTATCGGTTTAGCGTTAGAGGTCTTTTAACTTATTTACTTGATTTATTAATATTTATTATTACTTGGTTTAGATGGTATCTGTTTTCGGCCAGACCTTTTATTAATCCTTGTAATTAAGGCCGTCACGAGAAGAAAGAGCTAATCTTATATCACTTATATGTACATATAGCAATTTGGAACATCATCCAAGCTTGATCTGAGTCGATACAGCCAGCCGAATGATGCTAGATTTTCCATTAGCTCCTCCTTTATCCTATCAAATAGTCCGATATATATGGTTTTTTGTACCAGATTTTTTTTTGGTTTTTTTGTTTCCCAGAATTATTAGTCAGTTATTAATGATGCTATCAGCTAGTAGTCTGGCATATATAGTTTATCACGATACTAAATGCGAAATCTTCATCATCAGTTAGCACGAA